GGGTCGTCACCAAGCTTGATAATCACAAATTACCCGTGTTAAGTGGTCGCACAAAAACTACGCGCATGGGGGTGCGACCAAACCCCGCGATCACTTTTTGTGACGAATAAGGAGCACTTGCAGCAATAATGCATTGTTGTAAACAAGAAGATAAACAAGTGGAACATAGGCTCATTCCCATGGTTTGTTGGAAGAAGTGTTTGAAAGTTTGCTTGTTCTAAACTATGATTAGATAACTGCATGCAAACAAATGAGTGTCGTAGGATGTAGTACAAAATCAATGCACACAAGTAGAATGTGGTACAAATTGGAACTGAATCCTGCACGTTATAGTACTGCTTCCTCTGTCCCAAAATAAGTATCCCATATGACCCTTTTTGCTGTCCTAGAGCATTGTGTCCACTTTGCTATGACTGAGTAGGATTGTATAGAATAAGTACCAGAATACCAGAATCTTATTCTTAATCAATACAAATATCATTACTACACTTTTACTACTAGTAGTACTCCTACTGCTGTGCATCAGCTATTGCCTGAGCCTGAGCCTCAGCTTCTGCAAGTACTTTTTGTCCTATGGTGATGCAACTTGTGTTGCATTCACTGAAACAGGAAGTGCACCTTTGCAAATGAGACTTGCTTTTCTTGTGAGCGACAGCTTGTACTTGTTGTTGTCACCTCAAACACAAAGCGATGCTTGTATACAAGCCTGGAGAGATAAAAAAAATTGTTGAGTGTTTCACACTTTTTCTCATCACCAAACACCTTTTCAACATTGGCAATCAAATGATCAATATATTTTGACCACTTTTTGTACTGTAGTAGGGCCAGCTTTGGATTGAATTAAAGAATCCAAGATCAAGCACATTCATATCTGGACTATTTGGAGGTTGAGTCACAACGCAAACCTTCCAGACTGCATTTTTCACAGCTTTAGCAATATCAGTTCTGTTAGTTGGCTTGTGAGGCTTTGCATTGTCCTCTTGAATGATAATCTCAGGAGGTGGACTATCATCAGCTCCTTTTGGCCACTTTTCATAGATTGTTACAGGCAAAAATTTCTCCAGCATCATTTGCTTGTACACCTTGCCATTAACATTTAACAAATCTTCTTTTTTCTGGCTCTTTCACAACAAAGGGCCAGATACCAATCTTACTGTCAAACCAAGTGTTCCTGTGTGACTCAAACCTTGGATGAGCTGTGGCACAGACAAACATTACCTTTGTCATTTGATTCTTTGCCTTTGACGTAGACTTGGGCTCATCTTTGTCATCTGGTAGGAGATAAGCAGAGGCTTGGTGTTTCCATTGTGCTATTTTAGTTCTCCACGCTTTACAAGACAATATAGAGAAGACTTGGGAATCCCTGTAACAGCTGAGAACATTCTGAGGTCACCACTATCTTTGTAGTCAGTTGAATAGAATGCTGAAAGAAAGAGCAAAGAGACAATGATTGAAGAGTGCTATTCTCATTTTCTTCATTCTTTTCAACAACTAAGACCAATGCTTCAAGCCTTCTTTGCACCTCAAGTGACTCACTGCTGACAGGGGAGGCCCTACTGAGATGCATTGGCTTGGGCCTCCATTAATAGGATCCATTGACCTGTCAGCGCTTGCATCTCCATTGCTTCCATTAACAGGGGATCCATTGACCAGTCTGCTCTCTGTTGCTTCCACCAATAACAGGGGATCAATCAACTGGTCTGCTCTCTATTGCTTCAACTAATAGGGGATCCATTGGCCAGTCTGCTCTGGCGCCTCTGTTGTCTCCACTCTGGAGGGATCCATTGACTCGCCTCATGCCTCCATTGTCTTCACTGAGGGGGGGAAGCGCCAACAAATCACCATTGCCTCCAATTAGAGGCAGGGAAGGGGGGGAAGCGCCACTAAAAGGGGATCCATGAACTTGCTGGTGTCTATTGACAGGGGTTTGATTGACAACAACAATCAACCAACACCAAGGATGTGCTGCCTGTGTGAACTTCTCAATTTGCAATTTGCTGCTTCTTTTGGCTCACTTCCCCTGCTCCCTTGATTCTTTCTAAAGCAAATCAACACCACCAAACAGCAAGATGGTAACTGATGCAATGGGGCTCCTTCTTGAAGTACATACAAACTGTGGATCCCATCACTTGCCCTGCTGGTGATGTGCTATCTAGAAGACCCAACTCTGGTTGCAAACTGAGGCATTTGGAAGGATTAGATGAGGTTAAAAGTAATGTTCCACTCAACTGGAATTCCAAAGACGATATCTCTTTTTTGTATGGTAAAGTGTGGTTACATTAAAAAGCACAACAGGAATACAAAGCCACTACTAACTCCTGCACATAATCTCAAACAAGTTGAATTGATATTGAGTCACATTGATACAAGAAGTGGAAGATTCAATGATTGGCTCAAGTGGATTCATATCAACAAGAAATGGTTCCATTTTAGACAGACAACAAAAACTACATCATATTTGCATGCTGATGAAGATGAACCTATTTACACCAAAGTCTAAGAACCATATGACAAAGGTTATGTTCTTGTATGCCACAGAGCATCCAAGGTTTTATTCATGTTTTGATGCTTCTTGGTTTGATGAAAAAATTGGGATCTGGCCTTTTGTTGTGAAAGAACCGGCAAAAAGGAACTCTGTCAACTGTCCAACAGGAACCCTGGTTATGAAGCCACAGAATGTAAACAGTGAGGTGTACAAGCAAAAGTTGTGCAAAGATGTGCTTCCTGCAATCTACAAAAAATGGCTAAGAGGAGCTGATGGGAGTCCACCTCCTGAGATTTTCATTCAGGAGGCCACACAAGCTGTCCAGACATAAATGTTCTTGATCTTGGATTCTTCAATTCAATTCAAAGCTTGCAGTACAAGAAAAGATCAAAGGGGATTGATCATTTCATTCAAAACATAAAGCAAGCCTTTGATGAGTGCAGGCATCAAACGACATTGAAAAATGTGTTGGGGTTGATAACAATTACAAGCATTCCCATCTTGCAAAAGCAAGCCTGATGCATGTGGGTACACTCCCACTTTCAATTATTTGCAAGCCTTACTGCATTGTGGTAGGGACACAGGTTCTTGCTGCTCCTGCTCCTGAGGACAACAAGCATAGTAGTGATAGTAGTAAGTAGTTCAAATAAGAGATATAGCAGCAAAGGAAGTTCCTTGTAATGAATGTACACAATCCTACATAAGCCCCACTGCAATGACACGTATTTAAGACAGGGGCACAATGGCACATATAGTGGACCATAGGAAGTATTTAAAATGATTGGGGTTGGAAGATCTACGTAGAAAATACATGTGTATCATTTTGTAGGTACTGTTCTACAGTAAATACAGAACTGTAACTGATACAAATTATAAGCAACTGCATAATCTAATTTCCTACTTAAATTTCTGCTATTGGCAGAACTGAATTCTCAATCATTCTGCACACAATAGTAAAAAACTCTTTTTCTTTGATTCAGGTCAACAATAAACATTACCAACGTGTCTCTCCTCCTTTAATAGGCCATCTTTTGTGACAAATTCTAAAAGATACAACGTAGCAACAATTTAGCTCCCAATACCATTTGTGAATAAAACACTATCATTACCAATCTTCAACACTGCCAAAAAATACCACCGGTGACAGCAGCAGCACCACCACCACTAATTGAGATACTCCTCTGCTAAGAAGAAAGTGTACTATGGTGCATAGTGCTAGTAATCCAAGATTCATAACTATCATGTCTGCCCTACTCAAGCAGCAGGTCAAAGTGGATTGGATCCTTGATAAAATCCATATCAGGCGTTGACTCGATGGGCAGCTCGAACATGGCGTCGACGACATCGAGAGATGCTTCGTCGTCGATGAAACCAAAGTTTGTGTGCTGGGTTCCCCACCAATCGGCCGGGTTCTTGTAGGCGTCAATAAAAAAATCGGGACCCCCAGCGTCCCCCGCGGCCCATGCCACGGCGCCCCTCGTCATGATCGGGCCGTGGCAGCCGCAGTCCTTGTCCCAGGGTGGGCAGTCATTCGGAACGCCCTCGGCACCTTCCGGACAGGTTCCCCGGACCGTGTTGATGGGAACCACATCTTTGTTCTCCATGATGCCCTGGAGGATTCCGGGCTTCTCCGCCCGGTAAAAATTGCAGTGCAAGCACCGCTTACCCCCGTAGCTTTCGACCAGCTTGTAGATGTAGTCGACGGATCCTTTCGAGAGGTCCGGCCGCAGTGTTATTTTTATGTTCCCTTGTGTAGTAGTCAGGACGAGGAACTTTTTGTCATGCGTAGTGATCTTGTCGTTTTGCTGTTGCTTTTGTTCTGGCGGTTTCGTTGCTTCTATCCCTTCGACTATCTTCTGTCCGACTTCCTGGTTGTCTCCCTGTTCGATGCTGTTTGCCTCCTGATCCGTCTGCTGCTCCTCCGCTTGGTTATTGCCGAGGCGCGTCGTGCTTCTCGATGCCTCATTGGAGCTCTTGCCGGAAACATCCTTCCCACCACTGCCATCCACTTGTGTTTCTTTTCGCAGCAGCCCCGATAAACTCGCGTATTGGTTGGTAGCGTATAGCAATATGCCAATAACCAAAACGGGGGACAACACAATTAGCAAGAGACACAAATTGATCGGTTTGCGCGATTTCTTTTTAAGACGAACTCTCCTTTTCTGTTGTTTTCCACCAGCTGCTCTTCCCGCTTCCTCATCGATGTCTCGGTTTTCCTTTTCGACTGCTCGTCGCATTCGGGTGTGAGCGGATTGCATTGTGTTGCCGTTTTGGCTTGTGTTCGGGAACAGCACGTAATTGTGGATAGAAAAGGATGGATGATTGATTGTTTCCTGTTCGCTTCACTATGGGTGGAGATAAGACCAAGCAACGAAATGTATTCGACAGAATGAAGGCCGACGATCCTTGTTCTTCGAATGCAATCGTCGATGTAAATGCCTATTTCGTTCTACCGGTACAACTGGGAAAATTGAATTGAAAATTACTATCGATTTCAAGAAGTCGTCTCTGCCGTACCGCTACGTACGTACGATACGGGAAAGTAATGCATTCACAGTCACTAATAATCGTACGAGAATTAGTGCTGGGCGGGCTTCGTAGTACTCGTAACAACCGTCCGGGACTCTACATTACAGGTAGGATACTACTACGCGTACTGACTGTATTGTACTACTTCTACTAATTGTACTACTGACAGTATTTTTTACGGAACGGTTTTTCTAGTGAAGTACGTACAAGATTCTTTCAAGGAAAAGTCTCGATATTTTTACCCAACGGCAGAATATTTCACAGAAATTACAGTATGTATTGTACGTACGAGTATGGTACAAATGTAAGCTTCTTGATATGATGAGACCATGATATGATTTTTTTGGAGGTCTTGAGGGCAGGACCAAAAACAAAGAAAAATAATTAGTGTGTTGAAAACATCTCATTTCTTTGTGAATAGAGGCAAAAGATACCATAACTTTCTACGTTGACGTTGTCATTGCATCGAAAGATTTGAAAGTGCAAAGATTGGGGTTGAAGTGACAGCTTTCTGCAATTGTGTTGTTATCGTCTGACTAACTTTCATCAGTGAAGTTGGGGTTGGGGTGTTGTATTGCAGGTGGRTGCGTGCGTTGACCTGTGTGCATCCGCACAGAAATATCTCAACACCGATTTTGGTGGTTTGCATCTTTGACAAGCTTGCATCCTAGCTTGGCTGGACTCTCTTCTAGTGTCGTTTCAAATTCTTGTCCTTGATCTACTGTCAATTAATAGAAATAAATTATCTTGATTGATTAAGTTCCGRGCGGGATTGAAAAACAGAAGACCATTACAGAAAGATGAGCGTAGAGAGAGATATATTCACCCACGTTTCACGTTTTCGATAGTATCACTTGGTGTGTTAGACCCAATCTGCGAGAAGATCCCCAGCATCGTACTTCTGTTATCCTATTGTTATTGATATAATTACAACAAACTTCGAGTGCTGCACCACGGGAAGAATCAGACCTTCATCAGGGACTTGAGTTATGGTCATAGCCTTCAAAAACGGAGAACGAATGCATCAATTACCAATTATCCTCTAAATGAATAAYCAACGAAGAATGCCTKGGTTGCCGGACTGTCAAAACACTCGTTTGAAAGGCGACATCGAATCTCTTTCCGGTGGCGGTTGTGCTCGCGAATCAGGGTCCGCCTATTTTTTCTTGGTTTTCTTGCTGCTTTCACTTCCGGCAGCGCCGACCTTTTGGACCCCGATGTCTAGAACCGTTACCTTGAGAAGAGGTGGGCCCTTGTCGCTGCTGGAACCCAGCTTCTTTTGGATCGGCAGCGAGGCCAGCCGCGCCAAGAATTCCATGCTCTCGTTGTCGATCACCTGGCCGACAACCCTCCGGCGGAGCTTGTTGTCGTACAGCTGGGACGCGCTCTCGTCGGCGGTGACCAAAAAGGCGCTCGCGTAGGCCTCGTCGACGCTGCCGCCGCTGCTGCCAAAGCCGATTCCCTGCTCGGGGATGGAGATGAGGCCCGCCACGTCGTGCTTCCGAGCACCGGCCTCCGATCCGGTGGGTTCCGGTCGGTTCTGAGGGACAAAATTGTCCCCGCCCTCCCTGAGGCCCATAGCCCTGGCGTACGCCTTTTTCTGGGAGGGAACCCCAAACTCGACGCCCCTGCCCGGGCAAATGGTTGGGACGACCCCGCCCTGCAAGAGGGACACGGGAGAGCTCTTGACGCCGATGCTGTTTTCCATGGCGCTCGCATCTACCACCCCGGTGATGCCAATCGGGGTGAGGAAGCGCAGGAGCGATTTCACGCTCTCGGGGCAGTCGTCCCCGTAGAGCCCGAACCGCAAAAAGCCTACCTCCTCCCGTCGCTCCCCGACGTCGATCACCAGCTGGACCACGTGTGTGATGCGGTTGGTCACCCTGGGAATGGGTTTTCCGTCCGGTCCTTTTTCTCTCAGCTTTCCGTCGGCCCCGCAGCGCGGGTCGAGCGGGTCGCAGCGGTCTTCCGAGATCGCTCCCGCGGGGGAGGGGACGACCGCCACCACCGATGCCAGGGACACCGCCCCAGCCCTCGCGGCGCGGTTCAGGACCGCTCGCCTGCTGCTCGGGCCGGCTTCCCGATCCGGCTCGTTCACTCCAAATCCGCTGTCGTCGTGGGCACCGAGCAGGGAAATTCGCCGGAAAGCGGAAAGCGGGGCTTTTGTTCTGGACGTTGTGGCGGATCCGATCCACGACTGCGCAACCGCAACGCAGAAGATCAGGGCGATTGTGATGGAATGGGGCGAGAACGATGCGCGAATCATTGGTTTTTGCTTCTGAACAGAGGCTTCTTTTTGTTGCGTTATTTGTTGATCTGTCGAGCAGAGTTGCGAAGACCAGAGGACTTCGTGACGATACTCTTTCTCAGCAAATCGGAATCATCAGGATATTGCTCATCGGATACGTTTCTTCCGATTGCCGTCCTCTACCGGTAGTACGGTACCAAGAACGTAGCCTACTTTATGGCTCTGATGAAGATCGCTGACGACTTTGGCCGGCCCTATCGTAGTACCGTACTTCGTACGTATCTATGCCGAGGAAAAGTTCAGTCACGTTCGGGAATAAAATATGCGCGCAAGACGATTTTTAAAAAAATGAACGAACAAGGAGAGGGGAAGTACGGACAGACACGTCAAACCACCCACCGAGACGAAGCATCTGTCCTCCTCCTACGGTATTCCTACCTTGTTCCCGCCCCTTTTTCGTTTGAATCCCAGCCCCAGAGCAACGTTTCATCATTGGCAAGAGGAAAAAGAAAGGACGACTAGAGTCAACCACCAAAGGATCATCCAAGATCGCAGGAGATAGCCCGAGCACCGAGAAGTTCCATACAAAAGCGACTAGTATCACCCTGCGCTTTTACTTTTACAACACCCAATCTCCATTTCAACGAACGATATACCAATACTACTAGCACTATGGCAATGATGGGACCCAGACCCGGTCCGGGCCAAGTAATGGTTTTGAGTGAGTACCTTCAGCCGCAAATCTGCCGAGAACGAAACATCAGTGGCATGCACAACGCTTGCTGTTACGAAGTTTTTCGCCATGGCCATTGTCGTTTTGTTGCCATTGTTTCTGGATATGCGACTATGCGCAGATGTTTGCAGATTTTTTACAAACACAATACCGTGGAGAGAGTACTGGATTTTTCCACCGATCCCTCACCCGACTTTCCCATCGCTTGCATCCAACGAATCCATCATCCGCAAATAAATCATGTCCTTGCTCTACCCTTACCTTGGCAACAATTAATCGAATCGATTTCAATCAACACAACGCAATGATAACGCAACCGCAACTCTGGCAATGACAATGACTGCCGAAAACCATGGATCAAAAAATATGACAACGACGATACGTTATTGTTCCAACCAATTCACGTAACAATGAATCAAACTTGATGACGACGAAACAATCCACCCAACAACTTACAATCGTGCACACAAACTTTGTGCCGTGTTCGTGGAAATTAATTTTGCGCAAACGCATCAACAATGGACTGTCAAATCCATCCATCCGTGAATCGTACTATCCTTGTTTCGATGTTTCTCCTTTCCAATAGACGCCAAAACCCAGCGTCAGACCGGCCGCGAAGCCCAGCTAGGAAACATCCGCGCTGCCAAATCGGTCGCCAACATTATCCGGACGACCCTCGGTCCCCAGTCGATGCTCAAGATGCTATTGGATCCCATGGGAGGGATCGTTATGACCAACGACGGGAATTGTATACTGCGGGAGGTCGATGTCAGCCATCCGACCGCCAAATCGATGATCGAGCTGAGCCGGGCCCAGGACGAAGAAGTCGGGGACGGAACCACCTCCGTCATTGTYCTGAGCGCCCAGGTATTGGCGGCGGCGGAACCCTTTTTGATGAGCAGGTACCACCCGACCGTCATTTGCCAGGCCTACACCAAGGCGCTGTCCTACGCCCTGGAGGTCTGCGACGAYCTGGCCACCACGATCGACGTCCAAAAGGACAAGGAATGGATCTCGAAGCTTGTATTGAGCAGCATCGGGACCAAGTTCTCCTCCCGATGGAACGACCAGCTGGTCGACATGGCCATTCAGGCCGTCACCACGGTCGTCCAGGAGACGCCCGGCGGAAAACCCACGGTGGATCTGAAGCGATACGCCAAGGTCGAAAAGATCCCCGGCGGCCAGCTGGAGGATGCCTGCGTCCTCAAGGGCATCATGATCCAAAAGGACACGACCCACTCCAAGATGCGCCGCAAAATCGAGAACCCTCGCATTCTGTTGCTCGATAGCCCCCTGGAATACAAGAAGGGCGAATCCCAGACCAACGTCGAGATCACGGACGACCAGGACTGGAACGCGATGCTTCGCCTGGAGGAAGAGTATGTGGAGAACATGTGCAAGGAAATCATCGCCGCGAAACCCGATGTGGTCTGCACGGAGAAGGGTGTCTCGGATCTGGCCCAGCACTATCTGCAAAAGGCGGGCATCACCGCCTTTCGTCGACTCCGAAAGACCGACAACAACCGCGTGGCCAGGGCCACGGGTGCCACCATTGTATCCCGGACGGATGAAATCCAGGAATCGGACATTGGAACCAAGTGTGGCCTCTTCGAAATGCGCAAGGTCGGCGACGATTGGTTCTGCTATTTCGACGAGTGCAAGGACCCCAAGTCCTGCACGATCGTCTTGCGGGGCGGGTCCAAGGACGTCCTCAACGAAATCGAGCGCAATCTCCAGGACGCCATGCAGGTGGTCCGGAACGTGGTGTACGACCCCAAGCTCCTCCCGGGGGGAGGTGCGACGGAGATGGCCCTCGCGGTGGCCATCCGCCAAAAGGGACAGTCCCTGGGGGGCATCGGCACACAGCAGGCTCCCTTTCTGGCAGTCGGAGAAGCCCTCGAGGTCATTCCCCGCACCCTGGCGCAAAACTGTGGGGTGTCCGTTATACGGACCGTGACGGCGCTGCGCCAGAAGCACGCCTCCGCCCTGGAAAGCGGTGACAAGAAGTGCGCGGTCGGTGTGAACGGAATCACGGGCGAGCTAGCGGACATGCACGAGCTGGGGATCTGGGAACCCTATTCGGTCAAGGTCCAAACGATCAAGTCATCGATCGAAAACGCCTGCATGATTTTGAGGATTGACGACATTGTGTCGGGATCCAAAAAGAAGGGATATTAGCCACCCAATCTGCAGAACAGATACAATCCACTTCAGCCGTTGACGTTGACAATTCAACACCATAATTATATAATGCCAGATCTATTCTATCATACTACTATCGCTACCATATGTATCCACGGAAAGCTCGAGGATATGCCAAAAACGCAAACCAACCCAGAACCACCCTATGATTAATGTGTTCTACGTGGTTTCGACCAATCGTTTTCGGACCTGTTTCGTCCGCAACGTCATTGTTGTGTTTGTTGTTGGATTGTTTCGTGGAACCAACCCTGAACCCCAAAGCGTTCTCGGTTGGTCCTGAGCACTTCGTGGGGAAGGGAGACGCTATCAAAGAGGACGAGTGTTCCGGCCCTCGGGAGAATGTCATGGATTCGTTCTCCACCGTCCTCTCCCTCCGGGGGCGYTTCGGTCTTGGCCAGCTCGGAGACGAGGCTCTTGGGGGCATCGATCAGGTGGAAGCGCTTTCTGTCTTCTGGATCATCCACCATAAAGTTGCGTGCCAGCTTGTCGCCTCCCCCCAGGTACAGGGCGGCATTGGGAAAGGGCTGTTTCGAGAGCTCCCTCCTCTTGTTCTCGCCGCTGTTGTCGTCAAAGGTGTAGAGCATGCAAGATTCGTTTTCGTCCATGCTGCCGTCTCGTTTTCGACAAAAGGGATTCAGAAAGACGGGCTGCTCGCCCTTTCCCGTTTCGGGAATTTCCCGGAGCCATCCAACCTGCAGATCGTTCGCGTTGCGGGCGCCGACCGGAACGATCGAGTCGCTGGCACGTTCGTGGAGCCTCAGCTGGCCCCCGTCCTCCGGCGTCCAATCGTCGTTCAGATAGACCAGCCAGGTGACGGACCTCCGGGAGGCGTTCTTCTTGAGTGGCAACCGGGATCCGTGGGCGCGCTTGAGTTCCAGGTGGTGCTCGTCGGTGTGCCGATTCAGAAGAGCACCCTCCCCGTATCTCAGGTATTCCATCTCGTGGGTCTGAGCCACATCGTTCGAGAGGGTTGGTCGATCGGTCAATCCGTTGGCCAGAGCGGCCTTTACGGCCGCCATTTTTCTCCTGAGGGATTCCCTCACCTGCAGATTTCCCACGGCAGAGTCAACGAAGGGACCATCTCTGATTCCCTGGGAAGAGGCAAACGAAGGCATGATCCAACGGTCGTTTGCGAACCTGTCGGCCTTTTTGGGATTTCGTGACAAGATGAAGTTGGTAAAATGTCCGCCACGGAAACAGTCTCTGGCATCTTGACACAGTGCTTTGGTTTCCTCAGGCGACAGCCAGTCGTTGATGATAGCAGCCTTCCCGGCCTCGATGGTCCGGAGCGTCCCGGGAGGAAGAAAGGATGCATCCGCGCTGTTTGGTGTCCCCACAGCGTGTGCAAGGCAAGCATCCTCGACCAAGGATCTCCACGTTACCTCGGCCGTTGCCATTCCGGTTGTCAGAGATGCTGCTTTTACTGTAGCGGCGATGGCGTCCCGCCTCGATACGCGGTGCTCCTCCCGGTGGCATTTCCCCGATCCTTCTGCGTATAGATTGGTTGTGGCGGACGATCCCGTGTTTCCGAGAGGGTTTCTGCTCCGGCGGACTTCGTCGTGGTTGCCGAACGACAAGGCGCGAGCTGCAGCATCGAGACACAGAAGAAGGCGGACCAAACGCAAAAAGTTGGGTGTCATCTTTCGGTCGAATGCTTTTGTGTTAACACTTCGTGCAGTGGCGACGTGGTGGAATGCTTGAAATTCAACTCTGGAATTTTGCGACTTCTCTCTTGATCATAAATCGGACGTGATTACAAAAATGAGAATCGTGGTGGTTTCGCAGTATCGGTGTACTTTTTAATACACGAATAGTCTTGGGAAATCAATACGGTTTAAGTTCCCTGGATTTTGGGACTTGATTTTGCGAGGATGAGCGAGCGAAACAGCAATGAGTGTGCACCGATATGTACGCACATACTGTACTCGTTCTCGACTGTATCGTACGGTACTTCGAGGAAATAAATCCAGTCATTGAATCCAAAATTAGTACTGTAGCGTACGCTAGTATGTGGGCACGTCCTCTAGAACCAAAATCGACTACTTTGACTATATATATATACAGATTTACATAAAATATTGAGTGATTCCCGATATTATAGAAATGCTAAATTTGATAGACGGACGGACCAAAAATCTAGCACATTTTGTAATAGATTTAGCATTTTTAGAATGGGTCAACCGACCCCATTCTAAATGTGCTAAATACTATGATACRGTACTTCTAGTACATTCCAACAAAAGACTGGCATCGAGCCGGCATTCTCGTGGTCTGTCCATTGAAATTCGGATTCCCGTTATTATAAAAGTGCTAAACTCATAGATTCCGGAATTCTATCATTCTATAATAACGGGAATCACTCATTTCCTTTTTTCGTGCTCGTTCGTTTTCATTTCAAGAGTACGAGTTACTACCACTGATTTTTACTTCGTTGACGGAATTATGGTACCGTACCGGTCGGTACCAGGCATGCACCGTACAACGTAAAAAAGAAATAATCTATTCTTGTTCCGCGAGGGAGAAAATTTGTAGTGTAAACTAAACATACTGTACCGTTAAAATTGTACGCTTGTGAAGAAGAACTCGACATGAAACCGAAAAATAGACCTGAAAGTACGTACGTACGATACGGTACGTTTTTACCTCTTTTTTCAAGATAACATCAGCTGTCCGCCTGTTGGCGCCTTGCATGCACACCTGTTTATAACATGAAGAATACAGTTCGTTATGCTACCTAACCATAGCACTACTTTATAAGATTTCTATGGAAAAGACAACCATACCAATAGTGGGTGAATTTGACCGTCACTGTGAGGAGGATATTGGCGACCGAGAGGATGCGTTTCGTGGGATCCGTGTCCAAGAAGATAGATGCGCAGCCACCAAATCGAAATCGAACGATTGGGACGACACAAAAGAAACAGAATCCCGTGTCAGAAACGAAATGAATCGAAGTAAGCCTTTACCTGGCTGTCGTCAGATTCAATTCAAACTCATGAAACGGAAATTATCGCAGCAAGCAGTCGATGACGATGATGTCGATAACTTGTATGTTCATCAAGAACCATGCATTTTTTGTCGTATATTGGAGTCCCGTACCCGATCAGAACGTCTCGATGACTACCTCAGCTATAAAATCGACCAAAAAAATAGCTACTGCCACACAACTAACTTCGACATCAAGTTGTCACAGCGCAGACGACCAAGACGAGGTCGGGAGCTTCTTTACAGAGAAGAAAGAGCGAAAAGTGGGGAGAACCAAACACAAGTGGTGTTGCGTCTTTCGAAAACAGATGTCATGGTTCGCAATATTATGATTCCCTTTCTATCACCGCCGGAACGCACAGTCTTGTTTGATATTCCGGAATGGAGAAATATCTTTCGCCTCGAAAATCACTTCTGTCCGAAACACGGCAACGAATACAAACCTGATGACAAGATTTTCAGATCGGCAGCGGAAAGTGCGAAGAAAAAGAGCAATGGAAGCAGGAAAACAAAAAAGAGATACTTTGATTACAAGGATATTTTGGAGGAAATAATACACGATGGCAGGGACCCAATCGTTTTTCGCAACAAACTCGCCTATCGCACGCAACCCTTTCCACCACACATGGTCGGCAACAAATCAGTAAACCAACCCGAGGTCTCTCTGTTCGAAGACCCGGATTACGGAAGTTATTTTTGCAAAATGAAGAAATGCATGGCGTGTGAAAAAGAAGCAGATGTGAGACAGATGGGGAAGCAGGGCTTGGGGAAATGTACATTTTGCAGCCGCTTTTGTGACTTTCGCAAACAACGCAGGTGTGCCAAGGACCATTGTGACAGGATCTTGCCCTGCTCCAACTGCCCGGAGACGGTTGCCAACAAATCTTCGTACCAATGCAATCATTGTCTTGCCGAGTTTTGCACCGATTGCCACGAAACATATTCCTGTACAATGTGCGAAACATCCATCTGTGATGGGTGTCACGAGACCTCGGGATTGGACTTTCACAAGTGCTCCCTTTGTGAGAATACGATGTGCAGTAAATGCGATGCAACATACTCCTGTGAGCATTGCGGGAAATGTTTTTGTTATCACTGTAGGGATGGTGGTGCAATGAACTGCGGGTGCGGCAATGCCGTCTTCTGTAACGAATGTGTGCCGCAACAACTGTGCAATATTTGTGGGGAACGCAAGTGTTTGGAATGCTGCGGCACGGAGAACAACTTGGTCTGTTCGGTGTGCGGAGGTAGCTCTTGCAAGGACTGCGCAGAGGTCTACCACTGCGAGGTTTGCGATCAATCCTTCTGCTACGGATGCAGAGACCAACGCCCGTCCTCTCCGAACACCAGCTGCAAAAAATGCAAGAACGTGGTCTGCTGCAGCCACTGCGTCAGAGCGGCTCCGTGCAGCAACTGCCRCAAGCTCTCCTGCCTGGTGTGTTCCAGGCAAAAGCAACGATGCGCGGCGTGCGGCCGGTTTTCGTGCAACGACTGCGGCGGGACGACGGCTTGTCCGAGCTGCAACCTCTACCACTGCTCGGACTGCAGCCTGGAACGCGAGGCGTCCTGCGCCGACTGTGGGGGCCGCCTGTGCACTCCCTGCGACCTGTACTCTTCCGCGCCGTCGCTGGGGACATGCAAGGGCTGCGGGGATCGGTATTGCTTCGACTGTCGCTTCGATGCCCGTTGCGAGACGTGTTCGGGAGTGTTTTGCTCAAAGTGTATCGTTGTTTGTGAGAAGTCGTCGCTGAGAAACTGCCGCGGTTGCCTGGTGAAACTAGAGGAAATTTACGGAAAATATTTTTGATACGGCGATGATAGGCACGGATTGGTTGTATCGCGCATGGCCGACGGCATGCAGGCTTTTCGCCTTGGATCGAATTTCTTCGTGCACTGCTTTTGGGTCAATTCTAGCACTAGAGCAGGCTGCAAACAAGATCGGTACCCCCTACGGATTCCACTACGAATGAAAGCAAAAGATATTTGTACGCTAAATGCAAATGAAACCGTTTCCATTGATGCGACACTCGCAGTAATGACTAATAAATAACCCAAAACAGACTGTCATGGTCTTCACACATTCTATTCACTTGTTTGTTCGACCTTTGTATGTGATTGATTCTTCCTCTGTGAATGGGAGTAATGCGAGGAATGAATCGATGCATTGTGTCTTTGGTGCCGTGCCCTATGATCTAGATTTCGTATGAACGTTCACGCCAACTACTATCAAACGAACCGAAAGGACACACAAAGGACAGAAAGTAGTTGATCCGATGGTTTTTTTGCTCGGATCGACGACGTCACACCGGCAAGATCGTTTGGGTACACCCATAAATTCATTGCGGACAAAACTTTCCTCGTTGTCTTTTTCCCATAGAAAATTCTCTGCGGTGAGTTAGGGGACCATCGATACCGCGCAAGAACCGATTCGACGACCTGAGGACACGGGACGGGTCTTCGTTCTGTTGCACCTGGCTCTTTCGCTTCTGTGGCTTGGTGACGATCCGAGTGATGGATCCTGCTCCAACCCGTACCAAGCCCCGTCCGCCGAAAAGATTCTCCCCCGCGGGGCGGGGCCGTGTATCTATCAAAACCAATGCTACGGCACCTCTGTTTCCGGGAGACACCCGTGCGCATCGGCCGAACGAAGACGGGTGCGACGAACCAACACGGACCGTTCGTTCCCAAGCTCTCGAACAGCCCCCGAGGCGGCATTCTGTAGCGACGACTCGTGCTTCTCGTGGTAGCTAGCCCGCCACCCGGTGCCTCCTTTCCCGTTCTATCGCTCCCGCGCCTCCGGCGAACCGTTCTCGGGCACCCCGCCAACCTCGAAACCAACCAGGGACCAGCGCGTCTGGCCGGTGTAGGTCCACCACCGGTCCTCTCCGTTCTTCGCCGGCCCGCTGACCACCGACCGCAGCGGGACGGATGCCGTGGGACGGGAATCGATGCCGCCCGCGTCRCCCCCGGGCGCGGCCCGGAGTTCGATCCCGTATCGGTACAGGGGCCCGTCCAGGACCATGGAGTGGTACTCCCCGTTCTCMCCTCCCAGATCCAGGGGAATCCTCCGCGGGTCCTTGGTGCCCCACCCGCTCCTTTCGGCCTCCGTGAACGACACCCTGTCGACCTCGCCCCTGCGGATGGCCTCCATCTCGCGGACGGCGGTCTCGTCCAGCGTCCTCCCGCACCAGGAGGCATCGAACCAGGGGCTCTTGACGCAGGAAAAGACGACCTTGCAGCCGTTGTCCACCAGCAGCGTCCGGAGGCAATCTTCCCGCTCGGCCTTCCAGAGGGGCAGGTAGGCGCGGATCCCCCCACCGGGCAGCATCTCGCAGCATTCCTTGATGTAGTTGTCGCTGGAATTTTCGATTTCCACCAGGTCCATGTCGCCCGTGGCAATCACCCGTATTCCGAGGTCGTCCCGGAGCCTTCGGATGGCGTCGACGTAGGCATCGCGGTAGGACTGCGAGGCCGACAGGACCATGACGCGAAGGGCCAGGCCGAGGGAGTCCGCCTGGGCTTTCATGAGCTCCATCGGGTGGGCCTCGAAGTCGGCCCGGCTTTCGGGGCGGAAGACCACCAGGTCCGTGACGTTGAGGGACGGGTCCCTCCAGCACTCGAGGAGGGCGAGGTTGCAGTCCTTGCCGCCCGTCCAGGAGATGCAGCATTTTTCCGGCGGGGGGCCGTTCGCACCGGAGCCGCCGGCGATGGTTTGTTCCTCTCTCGTCATTTTTTGTCGGGGGGGGAGGGGAATGGAAGGAAATGGAAGGGGTGGATGGATCTTCTCGGAATGGATCGATGCGACTGGATACAGTAACAATAACATGCAACGGTACAGACTTGATTGGCGAGACGGCACCGCGACGGCAAAAACGCATTTATCTGGAACTGAGTCGATTTCCATTTTTTCCCGAAAATTTGGTTCCACCTGCAAAACTGTCGGTATCCGGTTTCGTACCATTACCGTAAGCTACTGTACCCAAGACTACTCCGATTAAGTCAAGAATACTGTAGCAAACTTTTCATATCATATCGTACGTACCGTATGTACGGTCTAGTATGAATAGGTACATACCTTCATAGCTGCTCCTGGTTCTCATCTTTTTACTTTACGAGGTAACCTACCTGGTATGGTACCGGTAATTGTACCGTATTGTACCGTATGGTTGACGTKACACGATTTACATCTTGCTGCTATGCTGCCGCCAATCGTACACATCTGCTTGTACTACCATACCGTACGGTACGTACCGTACCAGGCCAGGTATGGTACGACTAACTCGTACCGAACGACAGCCAAGCAAACAACCAAACCCGAATTTCCTTTTTCACGAGCTGTAAGCAAACAGTTCGCACCATTGCCTTTGCATCACTGAACCGAGCACTCTCGTTCGTATCAAACGGCAATTCACGAATCGACCAACACGGCAAGCGTGTCGCTCGTGCCAAAGCATCGCCGGAGCAGTTGCTTGGACACTCGCACCCCGTCCCTTTGGTATCCCACCGAAGAAAACGAAAACGAAAACAAATACAAACCGGGTCCTTTTTGTTCGGCACCGACAGCCACTACCATGATCACCGTGCTCGGCAACGACGGCGGCGACGACGACCACGACACGAACGGCCGCGGCGAGCCCGCCGCCCTTTCGGGGGCCTCCCTCCCGCTCGCCGCCGCGGCTGCGCGACGGGGTGCCGGCAGGCCCCTTCCGCCCGACAACTCGGAGCTGATGGACCGGCTGAAGAGCTTTCTGCCCGCGATGGCCTCCGCAAACAAGGAGCTTCTGGCGCCGGCGCCGGGGGGGACCGGTCGACCGGGGTCCTTCGGTGGGACGGCGGTCCGGCTGGACGACGGCCTGGCGCTGGACGACGAGAGCGGCGGCGACAGCGACGACGAGGAAACGGACCGTCCCACCGGCCCGCTGRTCCGGGAGGTAGACCCGCACGGGCCGGGCTTGGCTGCGGCCCCGGGCGGCGGCGACGTCCCTCCCGCCCCGGTGGCCGGCGGTTCCGGTGGCGCTGCCAAAGGCCCGACCATCGAGCTGCGGTTCGGCCTCGGGGACCTGTCGGGAAACCCCCTGGCGGAGCTCCTGGACGGCGGGGAACGCGGGGACGACGACGCGGGCAAAAACGGCGGCGACGGCGACAAAGCGGGGGAGCCGGCCGCCCGGCTGCGGTCCGTGGAGGCCCTGCTCGGGGGCGATCGACCGGACGGGAAAAAGGCGCGGGCCGCGGGACCCCTGATCACGGAGCTCTCCTGATGCCGGGATGGCCGAACAGGGCAAAGCGCGCAGCCCGGGTTCCGACCCCCGTGCGTCGCACGAGGGATCGAGCGAATTCCCGGGCTCGTGCCATACGGACGGCCATCGGTGGTGGTGTTGCGCTTGTGACACGAGACCAGACCGCCGCCGRCGGAAAACTGGTTTCGGACCGCGGGACGATCCTACAAAATACACTCAACCGATTWAAAAAAAACATCGATTCGATTCGTTTTGATTGAATATGCACGTAGATAGCAATGTTGTTCCTTTGAGTTTATAGCGCGCTTCCGACCAGGTCTCTGGTTGGGCCATGGGGGGCCGTTGGCACTCTGCAATGCCGCGTTCGGACCCGGCAGCGGGAGAACCCAAACCGCCTATCGGGCCGCGGGCCGGGCCGCGAAATCCCCGCAGTACCGAAACTCGGTCAGGATGCCGGCGACGCGAAAGAGCCCCCACATGCCACCCGTCTTCTCCGCCACGTCCTTCTTCACCGTAATGGTCCCTTCCTTGAGCGAGATGCCCCCCCCCGCGTCGGTCTCGATCCGGGCCTGCAGGTAGTACCGGTCGGTCGAGGGTGGGGGGGGGGCGTCCGGATCGGACCCGTCGAAGCCCACGTCCATGCTGAACAGGAGGTACTCCAGGCCGTCCTCGGGGGAGGTCTCGCGGTCCCACCCCCACACCTTGGTGATCTCCATGCCGCTGCTGCTGCTGCTGCCCGCGGGAACCCCGGCCCTCCCGTCCGGTTCGATCGGCACGGAATACCCGTCCTCTCTCAGGAGGAGATCGAGCTTGCCGGAGTAAAAGATCCGCGGCTTCGCGCCCGCGGCCCCGCGGCCGTTCGGGTCGTTCTCCTCGCTTTCTCGGGGAGGGGGCTGGCACGAAAACCGGTACGAGACGGTCCAAACCGATCCCTCGATGCTGGTGACGGGGGCGACCGGCCGCTCGGGGGACGCCGTCGTGGGGTTGCTCTTGCTTCTGTTGCTGCCGCCACTGCTTGCCCTCAGGTCGTCTTCCAGCAGGCTCGCTTCTTCCCGGAGCCTGCGGGCCTTTTCCAGCAGGTCCGAATCGGCGTTGCCTCGGTCGTTGTTGTTGTTGTTGTTGTTGTTGTTGCTGTTGCAAAGCGGGCCCATCCCCCGTCCAACGGCAGCCGCGGCCGGGATTGTCCGGGCGGGGAGCCCCCGGGCCACAAACGCGCTAGATGCCCCGATGCCCGCCAACGCCAGCGCCACCAGCAGAAGCGTCCGGAACGCCGTCGCAACGGTGCCGGGGCGGCGAAGGGGCCTGCTGTTGTCGCCGTGGTGCGGGTCGGAGAGCATTGTCGCGGGCGCAGTGTCGAAGCGATACGAAGCGATACGAAGCAAACAGATCCGAAGGTTCCCTTTGGCTACATCCACGGGAAGCAGTGTATCTGATCTGTTGGTGGTCTCTGTTTCGTACGGTACGGTGCTCGTACTCGTATGTGAGGAACCAAGTGTTGATAATATTGTTGATAATAATGTCATGCGAGTTGTTGGATAAGGTTAGGGATTACTGTATACCTGATACTACAAAGTACCCAGCAAGAAAATTCGACAAATCACGCGACATGATTGATCCCATATTCTTTAATTTACTTAGGAGTGATTAGAACTAGTTAATTCACTAGATCACCAGTCTATTGATAATACTCGTTGGTTCAACCCAGTCGGGGAAGTCCAATGGACTGGAGATAACAACATAAATTAAAGAATAATAGTAAGGAACACGATGAGCGCTGATGATAAGAAAGTAAAGTTCGAGCCTCCTCAAGAGGAGAAAGAGGGGAAGAAATATACGGCGCCGCGAAAGCCAAGGCACAGGAAGAAATACTACAACGCGAGCCAAAAGAATAACAGGAGTGAGATCAATCCCTACACAAGCAAAACAGAAGAACTAAAAGACGACACATTCACCATCGGAAGCAACATGGGAAAGAAATGGATGACAAGTCGTGAAGCGTTCATCAACTACGCTGGAAGAACATACGGGGGAAGTGTGAAAACATCCCTCCATCGACTGAAAGTCACGATACTGCATGTCAAAGAACCAGAGGCATACACTGATGATGAATACAAGAACCTACCCCAGAGATTACAAGATATCTGGAAGATGGAGTATAAGAGATACTCAGACATGGAAGTAAAGGTACAAGACCAGCTCATCAAAGCGTACGACATCCTGTGGGACCAATGTGAACCGGCACTGAAAAATAAAATCAAATCGCAACCAAACTACAGCAATACAATGGAAACATCCAATGTTATTGAACTCCTACAGATGATAGACCACATATGCAGCTCCAATGATGCAACAAAATACTATGAATTGCAGAGCTTTTATGCACTACGAAGACTGGTCAACTTTAAACAAAGAGAC